TTTTTTTTTTTAAGATTTTATTTATTTATTTGACAGAGATCGCAAGTAGGCGGAGAGGCAGGCAGAGAGAGAGAGAGAGAGGGAGGGAAGAAGAAGCAGGCTCCCCGCCGAGCAGAGAGCCCGATGTGGGGCTCAATCCCACAACCCTGAGATCATGACCTGAGCTGAAGGCAGAGGCTTAACCCACTGAGTCGCTCACGTGCCCCAAGGAAGATTTTCATTAACAAATGAATGCATTCTCCTTGTCTTGAAGGAAAATGACCACTTGACACCAAGCAGAGCAGAGCCTTCAAAGCTAACAACATTTTCACAGACTTTTTCTTCCCCAAGTGAGACAGTTCTAGATGAGCGACCCACTAAAACGCAGCACTTGAAGGAGCTCAACTCTCATCTTTCTAAAAGCTCAGGAGAGAGTCAAGAAGAGAATGAGAAGACAAGTCACAGATTGGGAGAAAATTTTTGCAAAAGACACATCTTAATAAGGGACTGTTATCTGAAACATGCAAAGAACCCTTAAAACTCAACAAGAAGGAAATGACCTAATTTTAAAAATGGGCCAATCACCTTAACAGACACTCACAGAAGAAGATACATATTTGGTAAACAAGTGTGTGAAAAGATGTTCCACATGGTGTGTCCTCAGGAAAGTCAAATTAAAACAACAAGGAGACACATCTACAAGAATGGCCAGAAACCAGAACACCAACAGTGCCCAATGCTGGCCAGGGCGTGGAGCAACAGGAGGTCTCATTCACTGTTGGTGAGAATCAAAGTGGTAGAGCCACTTTGACAGACAGTTTGGCAGTTTCTTACAAAACCAGACATATTCTCATCATATGATCCACCAATCGCATTTATCCAAAGGAGTTGAAAACCTTGGTCCACACAAAAATCTGCATGCAGATGTTTATAGCAGTTTTATTCTAGTTGCCAAAACTTGGGAGCAACCAAGATACCCTTCAGTAGGTGAATGGATAAAATAAGTGGATCCCAAAATTGCAGTACATCCTGACAGTGGGATCGTAATCAATACTAAAAAGACATGAGCTATCAATCCATGAAAGGACATGAAGCAAATTTAAATGCACATTACTAATTGAAAGAAACCACTGTGAAAAGGCTGGTTGATCCGACTATAGAATATTCTGGAAAAGGCACCACCTTACAGAAACAATTTAAAAAAAAATCAGTGGTTTCCAGGGATTGGAGTTGGGAAAGGGCTGAATGGGTAGAGAACAGAGGAATTTTTAGGGCAATGAAACTACCTTGCATGATAGTATAATAATGGATACATGTCACTGTGCATTCGTCCAAATGCATTGACTGCATAACACCAAGAGTGAGCCCTAAACTGAAAGTCAAGTACAAGTTTTGGGTGACAAGGATATGTTCACATAGGTTAAACAATTATAACAAATGTATCACTCTGGTAGGGGGGCAATACTGGTCATGGGGGGAGACTAGGTATGTGTAGGGGCAGAGCCATGCGGGACATCTCAGTACCTTCCTCTCAATTGGGCTGTGAACCTAAAACTGCTCTAAAAAAATTAAGTCATAAACACACACAAGCATGCACATGCACACACACACACACACACACACACACACAGAGGGAAGGAAAAAGACAAAGAACTAGGCTAGCACAGAAGAGAGGAAGCCTTATCACCAACCAACGTAAGGCAGCTTGACCTTAAAAGTCTGCAAAAAATAATTTGGCCTGAAAAAATATGCAATGTCATCAACCGAGAAGATCTAGCTCTGAATTTAGGTGGCTTATCATTACCAAGCCATCAGTTTAGTACAATAACAACCATATAATAAATGATAATAATAATAATAACAACAACAACAACGAAGATATCTTGAGCATCAATTATATGCAAGCCCTGTTTTAGGCAAGTTAAATGCATAGAACTCATTGAATCCTCCCAATACTCTATAAAGTAAATCCCGTTGTCATCTCCATTTTGCAGACAAGGAAACCAAGGCACAAAAAAACTAAACCACTTTCCTCAAATCACCCTCCTAAGAATTAGCAGAGCAAGGACTCAAACCCAGGCTGCCCAGCTCGAGGGTACATGGAGCTCCATTACGTCACCACAACTATGACTTGTCACAAATGCGGGGAAGGAGAATGTCAAGATACAAAATAGCAAGACCTAAGAGTTGTCTAGGCTTTGTGCAGAGCTGGCTGCTTTATCAACTTTATTTCATTCAGTCCTCACAAAAAAAAAAAAAAAAAAATGCTTTCCCCTTATTCCATCTATGGGAAACTCAGAGAATTTATGACTTGCCCAAGGTCACTAACTGATCAATGACAAAGCCAGTGGCCAAAGCCTCATGGCCAGACTCCAGCGCCCACAGCATCATTTCTCACACCATGCCACCTCTCTGTTCGAAGTAACTTATGGTCCTCTAAACAATCTACACAGTGCTTGATGAGATGGAAAGAAGTCCTGCCCCGTGGCACAATGTCTTTTTCAAAGACCGTGTAGGAGAGAAAGGCAGGATGGTGGAGTAGAATGAGTGAAGACTTTGAAATCAGACAAACCTGGGTTGAAATCCCAGCTCTAGCAATTACTGTGTAACCTAGAATATAGATCTCTGAGCCTATTTCCTGACATGTTCGAATGGGGTGAAACTCCTCTAATCACTATGGTGACCCTGAAGTTCAAATGAAGCAGTGTGTGGAAGTGCTGGCCCCTGGAGACCTTCCCATCATCTATAGCCCTGGATTCATTTCCTTGACCACACCAGGGGGCCCATAAGTGCATAGGAAGTCCATCTCTGCTCAGGTAGCCTGCCTGCCCTTGGGCTGAGTCATAGCGTCTTCTTGGCAAAAGAATTACACAAATACGAACTCTCCAGATTAGGACCACATTACCTCGACTCCCAGCATTTGCCCTGGGAGCCATCAGGAGCTCCAACCATACCACAGCTCTGTTAATGAGGTTGCCAAGCAACGGGGTGGCAGAGAGACCAAGAGGGCATGAAATCATTACTGACATTCCCAACTTGGCCTAACAGGGACCCAGGGTGTCAGTTGAGAATACCACAAAGCAAATTAAGGGCTTGCAAATGTTTGATCAACTGGGGACTTCATGGTTTGGTTTGGGCCTTGGGTTTGTTTTGGTTTTTTGCCCTTACCAAAAAAAAAAAAAAAAAAAAAAGGATTCAAACTTAGAAGCACATAGCAGAATTTTTTAAATAAAAATACAATTTAAAAAAGCAACTAAAATTCTAATGGTGTTTAAAAACTTCGGGTGATAGTTTTGCTCCTTAAGTCATTCCTACTATTTGTACATACTCAATCTCTTTCAGTTCCCTACTGGTCATATATGACACAGTTTAATCATTTTAAATGGCCCCTTAGTTACACATAAGTGGATTAAACAAATTTTAAAAAGCTTCCAGGAATAACTCTATTGCGGGTGTTTTCTTTATTTTACATTCCAATCTTATTCAGAGTGGCTTTAAATCAGGGCTGGCAAACTACAGCCCATAGGCTAAATCTGGCCCTTTGTCTTTTTTCATAAATAAAGTTTTATTGGAACACAGTTAGGCCCATGTGTTTGTGTATTGTCTATGGCTGCTTCTGTGCTACCAACACAGACTCGATAACAGAGACTATTTGGATCTGCAAAGCCTGAAATATTTACTCTCTGGGCCTTTATAGAAAATGTTTGCCAAAAATTGCTTTTTTTTTAAATTTATTTATTTAGTGGGAAATTTTAGCATGAGTGAGAGGGGCAGAGAGAGAGGGAGAGAGAATCTGAAGCAGACTCCAGGCTGAGCTCAGAGCCTAAAGATCTCACAACCCTGGGATCGGGACCCTGAGATCAGGACCGGAGCAGTAACCAAGAGTTGGATGCTTCTGATTGCGCCACCAGGCACCCCTGCCAATCCTTGCTTTAAAGCGAGTCCTAGAGAAGAGAGTCCTACAAGGTATTTCATAACACTTATCTCGACAGTAATTAAATAACTCTCTGTGTCTGCTAATGCCTACTTGTCCTGCTGCATGTGAGTCCCTTGAGAGGTCAGGACTATGTCTATCTGGTTCAATATTTTCTCCCCGAGGACTGAGCACAGAGGCTGGCACACAGTGTACACATAATAAATATTTGTTGTATAAATGAAATTAGTTGCTAGACAGGTTTTGAATTCTTGAGGATTCTTAAGAACATGACTCGTAGTAAGTTCTCAATAATTATATGTTTGCTAAGTAATCAATTGCATGGACTTTACATCTAGAGAATGGGTTTGTTTCCAAGGCATTGAATGACCAAGACAAATCCTTGTTTGTATTATGGTAAATCTCTTCTACACCATATCATTGGTGTCCACTTTCCTTCTAACTTCACAAAATCCTCTTTGTCTCAGGCCCTAATATCTGAGGCTTGGCTCTCATGGTGCCAGTCTCATTACTGATTTTCAGGGCTGGTCCTCCATCCTGTGGAATCCATCTGTGCTTTACAGCATGGTTCCCAATGGCCAGCAGGGGATCTGGGGGTAAGCTCAACCCAGAGTGCATCCCCAAGGTACATAGGCAGTCTGCCCACTAACACTTGCATACAAGAGAAACTGGGAACAGATGCCACCAGATTCTACAGAGAGAGCTGGGAGGAAGAGGCCTTCTGGCCTACCACTCACAAAATGTATTTGTCATTTGGATATGGAAGGTGGTTTAATATGAAGATGAGAGAAGTTTCACCCTCAAAAAGGCAATAAGATACGGAAAAAGAACTAAGAACTTTAGAGTTAGAGAGACTTGAGCAAGGATCCAAATTCTTACACTTATTACCTGGGTAAATTTGAGCCAATTAATTTTCTCTGACATAAAAATGCCTTCAAGACAAATAGAGGTAAAGTGAGAGCTTTGCAAGGGCATCGTGGCAGACTGAAGGTGCCCAATAGTGACAGATGCTATACAAATTTTACTGCTCTTTCCCCTTCATAATTTAACGCCACAAAGAGAATGATCTTTGGAAATTTCTACTTACCAAGCATTCCTTTTTTGGAACTGGACAGACACATGTCCTTCTCTGCACTGGGCAGGACAAAACTCACCACGAACACCTCCACTCCATCAGCCATCAGAGCCAAACCCAAGACAAAAAAAAGGATCCACTGGAAACGTCCATGGCCGCACTCATCAATGATGTTCTCATACTGGTGGGCCAACTGCTCCTCATCCTCCATCCTCTCCGCCATCAGGTCAGCCTGGCCCCGAAGGCCATCTGCCCTGGAGGGCGCCATCTTGGCTTGCTTGGCCTTGACATCATCTGGGTGAGGGATGCCCTGGTACTCGCCCTCATAGATCTCATCATCCTCATCATGGCCTTCTGTAACATCACTCTGTGCATCTTCCTCTGGGTTGGACTCGTTGCCACGGTAATAGCCGTCACTGGTGGCATACCCCTCATAGTTGTCCTGATACTTGTAGTCATCCATCCCTTGGGTCCGGGACTGCCGGGTCGCCTCTCGAGCTATATCTCTTGCACCGTGGTAGAGGTTTGGGTTGTTTCGATAACCATCATCCATTATATGTACAGAGGCGTTAAAGGTAGAATCTGTCTGTGTGACTTCTTGGGCGATTCTCCCACTTGACTCCCAAACAGAGCAGACTGATGCAAAAACAATGTAAGTATCTTTTCACATTCAATATCTATTGGAAGTCTTTGGAAAGTTCCAAATTCTGGTCTGGTCTCCTTCAGTGACCCAGCCGAGTTTTGTGGGGAGATGTTGATTAGAAATGGGGCCAGCTGTTTTCCTTGACAAGGAGCCCACAGGACTTGGTAGCTCGCTAGCAGGACTGATTTGTTTTTGCTGTTGAAGGTTATGCCCTGGGAGTACAGAAAAGGGAGAGAGGAGTGTCACAAAATACGGAAATTCTGAAAATACTCTCAGAATGAAACAAATATGTTTACAAATGCCAGCGCTTCAGGTGCTAGGTGGAGGAAATTTTGATTAGACATTTGGATTCATATCCAATGAATAAGGACTGAATCAGTGAGACAAAGGAGAAGAGGAGAAACAACAGTGGCCAGAGAGGCCCTCTGAGGTGCTGAGTAACCTATGAAAGGGGTCAACTCTTACAAAAGAAGGAAACAGAAAGTGGGCAAGGGATTCTCAAGACAAGACGATTTTGTGTTATGGAATTTTCTTTTAGAATTTATCAAGCCTGTGGCAACAGGGCATGTTTATTACAGCTCAGCTTCTGTTAGAAAAATGACAGCTTTTCTGACTTTGTTATGAGGTGGCTGTGCGATTTTATATCTAGAATGTGGTGGCAAACCTCCAGGACCATTTCTCGAAAGGCCCAGCTCACTTTGAGACTCAGCACTTTGGTTCAAGGGCCCCTCTGATCTTGGCCTTGGCTTAGCGAAGGAGGAAAAGCTGTTGAAGACCCAGAGCTGGAGAGCTTGATGCTGCTACATCAGGGCTGTGTGACCATGCTTACTTCTCTCTGAGGCTCTGCTTTCTCATCTGTAAAATGGGGATAACAATAGTAACTGACTCATAAGATTGTTCATAAAAAGCTTGCAACAGCATCAGACCTGCGTGGGAAATATTATTTTAGCCCGGACATGATTGTTGCTCTTTTATTTTCCTAGTTCCAACTGTAGAAACCAGGACCCAGTACTATCCGAGCCAAGGCCAATCCCCGAGACCACCTGTTGATTCTCATGCCCAGCGACTGGAACCTTTTGTCCTAATCACATCCTTTGAATCTCAGTTCTCACAAGGTTTGGAGCCACCACTACACGAAGCCTAGTGTGTGCCAGAAATTGTGCTCCATGTGTCATGTCCCTCCTCCCTAATCGTCACAACGATCAGAACAACAAGAAGAAAGTATTTGTACTTTCATTTTACGGATAAAGAAACCGAAGCTCCGCTGGAGTTAGGTCAAGATCAAACAGCGAGGACTCAACACCAGACCCACTGATTCCCAAAGTCCGTTCTTTCCATGGTCCTTGTGCTTCCCAAATGCTGTTCAGAGGGACTGTCACATTAGATCACCTAGAGAGCTTTAGAATGCAGATTCCCAGAGCATGCAGAGGGGCTGGTTCAAGCTCCAGGGTCTGAGTTTTCACATAGCTTCCCAGGAGGGACACCGAGACCCAACTGCTCCCTGTGTGGCCCTCAGGGGTAGAAGTAAGGCCCCTCCTAGACACCTGACCCCACTTCAGCTCTCCCTGGCTGCTGGACCCCTTCACAGCTGGCCGCCCCAGCTCAACTCACCTGCTGTTGTGTATATGTGACTTCAACCTTCATAGGCCTCCCTATCCCATCTGAAATCCACACGAAGATGCCACCCCACAAGAGATGGGACACACTCATCCCCTTGCCCCACGCCTACCTGCCTGGCTCTCCTCACCTTCAGCCCTGGACAGACTCTAGCTCTGAAACTCACGTGACACAAAAACAAAACACATTTTTTCTGGGTGGTGCTTCTCAAAGGTAGGGTAGGCCAGGACCACAGGGATTTGAGGGACTTATTAGAAATGCAAATCCCAGGACCCCTCCTCCAAAGACTTAGAACTTGCAAAATGATGGGTGGGACCTTGAAACCTACATTTTCCACAAACATCCCAAGGACTCCAATGGACAGCTTTCCCAGGAACAGTGTCTTAAGAGCCAGCAAGAAAGATTTACTAAGGACTGATTCTCACTTTATCTTTTCAGATTTTTTACCATCCCAGTAAATAAAATTGTATTGGACCATGCTGGCCTGAACCATGTCAGATTAATATTCTAAATCTGTTTTTATTGTATCCATTTAGGAACCACAGGAGGAATATAAATCACATGTAAACAGCATGAGAGTTTTGCAGAGTGCTATAAAAAAAATAGAAAGAATGCCAACTGCCTGAGATCTGGTGTGTTATTTCCATCCTGGGGGCTCTGCAAAGAATGTCACGAACCAGAAATGATAGATTTGCAATTCTAAAAGTATATGTGGAAAATGTCATAAGGGGCAGAGGTCCTGGGACTGACTCTGTGGAAAGAAGGAGATCTCTGTCAAAGCTAATTCTACTCATCTGATCCAGTGAAATGAGCTTCTGCAGATGGTGAGGTTAGTCGAGTAACGAGGAGTCACCGTCGGGTGTTGTGGGGTTGTTTTCTATTCCATTGAGAAATGCCAAGTTATTTTTCCAGCAAAGCATTTTCCAGAGAATACAACCATTAATCGCTTTCAGTGTGAATCCCTAAGAAGGTATATTGAAGCACTAACCCCCCAGTATCTCAGAATATGACCCTATTTGGAAATATGGTCCTTCTAGAAGTAATTGAGTTAATATGAGATCATTAGGGTGGGCTCTAATTCAGGATGACCGGTGACCTTATAAAAAGGGGAAATTTGAACTCAGACAGTGATCTGAAGAGAGGGAAGATGACATGACTTGGGGAGAGCAGCATCTACAAACCAATGCCTGAGGCTACCCAAAGCTAAACGAGAAGTGTCCCTTATTGCCCTCCAAAGGAACCAACCCTGACTGCGGATTTCTAGTCTTCAGAACCATAAGATGGTGGATTTCTTTGTTTAAGCCACTCACACTGTTGTACTTGGTTAAGGCAGCCCCAGGAAATGAACTAACTCAACAACATTAACAAGCCAAGTGTTTATCCTCTAACCAGCAATAAGAGAATAAGCATGAGAGCAACTATTGACTGAAAAGCAATAACCGTGTATCCTCACAGCCAATCATGAAGCAAAACCATTCTCTCCATTTTATGGATGCAGAAAACTGAGGGTTAGGGAGGATCAAAGAAGGTATCCAAGTTAACACAGAAAACCAACCATCAGGAATTAGATTTGAAGCATGTTCACGGAGAACCTTAGGGAGGGGGTACAACGGGAAGAGAATGGACTCCAAATAGACAAGTTAAGGTCACACGCCCCGTTCCCTGCAGAGCCAAGAGTGGCATCAAGTCTCTGACCCTCAGGATAGGCTTTGTGTGCCCATCCTGCATAACCGTCCCCCAGGATCTCTGGTGTTTCAGGCAATGTGACAGATACGACATGACCTGAGCCCCATCCTCAAGACATCCATTCCTCATGGAAGAGTCATGCATGCAGTAATAAAAATGACAATCTTAATTATTAATAATAGTATCTTTTATTTATTAATAATAGTATCTTTTATTTATTGAAAACTTGCCTTGTGGCTTTGTCCCAGGTACTAGGCTAAGAGATATCACGTGTATCCTGTTTTTTTATTCAACTCTATGAGGCAAGGGCCATTATTAAGAACTCATTTCACAGTAAACAAGACTGATGCTGAAGACATCACAATTGTAGGCTCTCCCACGAGTTCAGAAGAGGGACGGGTCGTTAATGGGATGTGCTGGAACAGCATCCTAGAGGCTGGGGACCATCAAGGGCAGAAAAGGGCTCAGAGAAGCCAGAAGGAGAGGAGGCCACTGTGCACTGGAGACCAAGGATCAGCAAAGTCATGGAGAGAACATGACTTAGCTTGTTTGGGCAGTAGTGAAACACCTGCCTACAGCAACCGAACCAAGAAGGGAGACTTAGAGGTGATAGAATGGGGCCGTGAAGAGTAGTTGGTCTGAATGCCCTGCTCAAGGACTGGGAATCTTCCTCTGAGCAAAGGGAGCCATGACAGTTGTTGAAGTGAGCAGAGGAGCCTGTCACACAGAGCAGAGATCTAGAAAGATCTCCCTGGTGGGAATAGGTGACCTGGTTTTTAAGAGAAAATCTGGGAACAGTGAAACTAGGTAGAAATTTCATAGTGGGGAGGGTAAACATTCAGAAGTGAGATGAGGCCAGGACAAAGGTAGTGGCCATGGGACTGGAAGAAAAGGACGGACACGAGGAGACTCCCACAGGAGAATAGGTGGTGCATTTCCTATCAGCGGACAAGGAGAAGGTGAGGTGACTGGGACAGTGGTGATGCTTGGAGGGCAAACTCTAGACTGGAAATCTTTCCGGAATCCTCCAGGTGCTGTATAACCAAAATGAAAATCTGTTTCCAGACTTCTTTCAGATTGCCTTTTTGGGTGGGGTGGTGGGACACAGAATAGAGGGGTCCAAGAGCACAAACTTGTGCATCAGGGCCCCGGTTCAAGTCCTGACTCCAGCACACCCTATGACCTGAGCACACAAGCTCTTCATTTCGGGCCTCAATTTCCTTATCTGTAAAGCAGTTGTAATAAAAGCACCCATGTGAGATAATCCGTGAAGAATGCTTAGCATGGTGCCGGGCACAGATGTGACGGATGTAAATTTGATCTGATTATCATCATTGTTGCTGTCATCGTGATCATTATCTGATGGAGCGTTGACAATTAAAGTGTAGCCAGCATCTCAACGTGAGCCCAGCCCAGCTTGAGATGTGGGGGTCCAACTGGGCCGCGCCGGGGAACCAAGTACAGAGAAAAACGAACTGGCATTTTGTTCCTCATGAAAACCTCTCCCTCTCTGACGCATGCCAGCCGGAACCTCATCAGCCTCTTCTCTCACTTCTCATGTTCTCTGAACCTCTGAGTCTGTGCTGCTCGACGCAGCATCCCTGTGT